AAATACCTACTAAGTATACTTTATAAGATTGATTCAAGAATATACTTTAAATCAACTAATGAGTCTTTTTTCGAGGTATGACATAAAGCAGCTTGAGGTTTAATTTTCTGTTTTTTTTCTTCTCGGTCTTTAAATAACTCGTAAACCTGAAGTAAGAAAAAGGAAGATGTAATATATCAAATTAAAAATCTAGTCATAAGTATTAATAATACTCAGATTTAGAAAAAGAATAATAATATCATAGTAAACATATTTGTTTTATTATTCATATTAATTACAGATATGAAATCGTAATTTACGTTTTTTTTGTATTTATTTATTGAATATACGACATGATTATTAATGTTCAAGACAATGATTATTTTGGTAATTATCAGTCCTCTGAAAAATTGTAAAGGGAAAAAATGACATATGTAAGAGATTGTATCATTTTTCGACATGTTACATTCTGTTGGTAAGCCTTGAAAGCAGCTAAATTTATATAAGGATAAATAATCTCAGCCAATAGCGATAATATCTTTATTAACCATTATAATATTATAATCATTTACAAAATAATTCATATTGTATTTGGTACGAGAAAGTTAAAAAGAAATAAATGAATTCTTATAATTAAGTAAATTTTAACAACTATTTAAACAAATCAATGTATATACTGATCGAAAAATCTCAGAATCCATCTTTAATGATTTAGAATGTTAAATGATAATTCGATTCCTTGAACTACTATCACATCTCAACAAAATCAATGGCATGAGCTTTTTAGCATGTTGAGGAAATCTTATTCAATTTGTTTATAGTTCTACAATAGCAAAACAACTCTCATCAGATAAATGATTTTTGTAGTTATAATTAGTATATCTGTTGATGTGCATCACTACAATCTCTTAGATTATCATGTCGTTGAAAGGAAAAGAAAAGAGCCATTTTTCTAAGTCACATCTTCCGGGATATATGCAGTGTCATCCATGATTTTTGATAATAATCAAAAAACATCACGTATCTTTCCTTATTACTTTTTATGTTCAATTAACGATATTTAAATTCATATATGATTCAATGTTGATTATTTTTTACAATTTTTATTATAATCATTAATACTCAAGTATTTTATAAAAGAAAACGTTTTTGTGTCATAGATAGTATAATTATGATCATTGAGCAGTAACTATATTTTTCAAATGTCGATCACCTGCACGTCGGGATAATGCTATTGTTTCAGGTTGAACGGTTCTTGCCTGTCGTTTGCAACATATAAACAATTTTTTCAATTTTGATTGAAGTTCAGGCATTGATCCAGCACATACAACAGGTAATAGAAGATTACCATAATATAAAAAAAACTGTGAGTATGCCTTAAAATCTGCACCAACTTCTTCAGGAATGCAACAAAGATGAAGAAATTCCATAAACATATGTGGAATGTATATAATAAGATATAAAAATGAAATTGATAATAATTGTATTGTCATTTTTCGATAGTTTCGCCAACGAGTTGGTTGACGCATTTGACTTTTCTGATAAAGAATACGTAATAGAAGTCCAAGACTGCAAGAAATAATAATGATTATAGGAATGAGATGATCAAATATAATATCCCATATTGCTAATGCTTGTTGATCATAATAACAAAGTGGATAGCCACAAACAAGTTGTGTATAATCAAACACATTTTGACATGGTGGAAAAATAATTACAATTAAACTATAACAAAAACAATAGAGAAGAACTACAACTATAGGAAGATAATGAAAAATTAGAATTTTTCTTCGTGTTGCTACAAGTTGATCATGAAAAATAAGAATATGTCTTTCGACAGTTGCCCATGCAAAAAGAGTAGTTATTGTGATAGTTAAGCCTTCATCAATTAATATCCAAACTATACAGAAAGATGGTGATTGTGGTGAAACCTGTCCTAGGCGATAATAATTCATAATCCATGGAATACTTGTTAACTGCACAATGAAATTAACAATAAGAAGTAAAGTGATAACGTGATTGTGTAGAGCTTGACGTAGTGTTCGACTAGCAATAAAATAATACAAAACAAATAGAGAGCAGATGAGAGATGGAATATAGAATATAAGAATAATCCAAAATCGAACAACACGTGGAATACCGATTTCGTATGGTAATAACGAAATATCGAGGAGAGAACTGTTGACTTCGTTTGACATCTTTTTCAAATGATAGTTATCAAGTTTAACTAAATATAGATACTAAAAAAAAAATCACGCTCAAAGCATGTGAACACAATATGTGCGACGTTGATTTAATTTACAGTAGTGTTTCCATTTACAGTTTTTCTTTCTTTCTAATTAATATAGATTTAAAATATTTCAATCTTCAATTGAACATTTTAAATCCGGAGGAAGTTTATACTATAGACTTTCTAAATATATATTCATTAATTTAGCACAAAAAATTTTAATCAGAAAATGAAGTTAATCTCTAGTATATAGAAAAAAAATCTATAAAGTTATCTGATTCTCTACTGTTTTATTTGTGAATATGAGATGCTCTCATTATATTAAATTTTTAATTAAAAAAAATTTGAATTATTTTCAGACCTAGTCAATAATATCTAGACATATTATTATAAGAGTAGAATACTGCTTTGTATATAATTATACGATGAATTCTAAATATAGATGAAAAAGTACAAAGACTTTTTTTAATTGGGTATTTCTTTACTGAATATACGGTATGTTTTAAGAGAAATAGATGGTTTAAAACTATATCTTAGAAATCATTTAGATACAATTACATTTAAGATGACAAACAGATATTAAGATAAATGAAGATGGTTAGATTTATTTATTAAAAAATAGAACATTAATTAGTAAATCCTAGCTATTGTTTTCAAAGGACGATGTGATAATGTCAGTGTTTGTGGTTGAATAACTCGTGCTTGTCGTTTGCAACA